TATATTTATAGCAGTTGATTTTAATCCTGTCAATTTCTATTCCAGAGATTAGGGTGTTTCTTATCTCCATTCCAGGGAGTAAAGATTATGTAGCTTAAGCGTGATTGTTCGTAGTTAAAGTGATTAACTACCCGCCTGGCACTTAGTTAAGGGGTTTTATCCTCTCCCTAACTTCAGGGAAAAATCCCTACCTGGGGAAACAACCTTTCTCGGAGAGGTGACCTTGGTTAAAACACATAGTGCTAAGGGGAGCAAACATATTAAGAACAGTATGCTATATACGCCAGGTCCCTTTCCTGCAGCAACTGTGTCAAGCAGCAAGGATGGACCGGCTCCCAGCAGCACATGGAATGGGGTCTAAGCAAAAGGGAAGTTGATGGCAAAATGATCTAAAGGTCAGTTTCCCAGGGGAAGGGGAATCGATTTGATTATTTGATCAAACCTAATAAAATCCTCCGAATCTGCTGCCTTAGAAACAGGACTGTGAGGAAGGAACAATGCTGATTCATGGCCGACCGGTTAGGAACAGTGTGGGTGCCTGATCCATGACCCCGGAAAGGAGGCAGGAGGAGAGAGGCTGTGGTTCATGAAAGATCCATGATGCTGCACCCTTGAATGACACATTGTGACTCCCTCTCCTGTGGGTAAAAGATGATTTCTAGACCAGGCTTTGAATTCTTTTTTTTTTTTAATTGATTTCAGAGAGGAAGGAAGAGGGAGAGAGAGAGAGAAACATCAATGATGAGAGAGAATCATTGATTGGCTGCCTCCTGCATGCCCCCCACTGGGGGTCCAGCCCACTGCACAGCCATGTGCCCTAACCAGGAATTGAACCTGGGACCCTTCAGTCTGCAGGCCGACACTCTCGCCACTGAGCCAAACCAGCGAGGGCCAGACTTTGAATTCTGACAGGTTCACTCCTGATGGGAAGAGGCCTGGGATTTGAAAGCCCTTGGGACTCTTGGTCCGGGTGGATTGGGTCAAGGAAAAGGGTTGGAGCTATTCAGCACGAAAACTGCTCCCATTGAACTGTGTGTCCCTGTCAAGGTTTTATTTCAAATTGGTGAGAGAACTAGGTTCCAAGAAAGCCAGTCCAACATGTATTTCTGGGTGACAGTCTTTATCGTGGGAAAAAAAGGATTTTATTTAACGCACTCATGAGTGAAGGAACGTGGTTTACTGCAGGAGGGCTCCTCAGCAGTTACCTGGAGCGGGAGGGGCTGCGGGGCGACCCAGACCCGGCTCAGGTATAGCCGAGGCTCCGGAACCCAAGCGCCGGTCACACACAGTATTGCCCTGACCTAAGGCAAGGGGCAGGGCCTTTGCACCCCTTCAGTGGCTCCCAGGGGTGACGGGGGTTGGAGTATCCCTTCCTCTCTGAAATCAGTAAAAATATATTTTTAAATATATATTTAAAAAAAAAAAAAAAAGAACTAGGAAAACCTGAAAGGGAAAAAAAAAGCTGGGCACTAAAGAGAATGGTGCGCCAAGATGCCGCCACCTTCTGCCCTGAGCTGGTACTGCACCCTTTTCGAGCAAAGCAAATCCAGTCCTATTGGTATTAGTAATTCTGTTTAACATCCTTGCGGTTCTGGGCCTCAGAGTCCAAATCTCGGAGCTAGAGCTCAAAGAAGATGAACGGAAATGGCTTAGGTGTAGCCCAGAGTCTCCGCGTGGGGGTTGAGAAAATGCAGGGAGAACAGAAGAATGAAAAGGGAGGAAAACTCGTTCCTTGTTGCATCAGGCGTCTCACACACAGCGGTTTTTAAAAATCGTTGTGAAATGGACCCTAAAAGTCATGTTGCAGACGAGAAAGCAGCCTAAGAAAGTGTTGAGGGATGTTTTTTACAGGGTAAAATGGTCACTCGTGTGCACAAGGATTTTATTTAACGCATTCATGAGTGAAGGGACCAGTAAGATATGTCTCCATTGTACAACACAGACCACTACCCACGGGAACAGCTACCCGTGTCTCCATTGTACAACACGGACCACTACCCCCGGGGATCAGCTACCCGTGTCTCCATTGTACAACACAGACCACTACCCACGGGAACAGCTACCCGTGTCTCCATTGTACAACACGGACCACTACCCCCGGGGATCAGCTATCCGTGTCTCCATTGTACAACACAGACCACTACCCACGGGAACAGCTACCCGTGTCTGCATTGTACAACACGGACCACTACCCCCGGGGATCAGCTATCCGTGTCTCCATTGTACAACACAGACCACTACCCACGGGAACAGCTACCCGTGTCTGCATTGTACAACACGGACCACTACCCCCGGGGATCAGCTATCCGTGTCTCCATTGTACAACACAGACCACTACCCACGGGAACAGCTACCCGTGTCTGCATTGTACAACACGGACCACTACCCCCGGGGATCAGCTATCCGTGTCTCCATTGTACAACACAGACCACTACCCACGGGAACAGCTACCCGTGTCTGCATTGTACAACACGGACCACTACCCCCGGGGATCAGCTATCCGTGTCTCCATTGTACAACACAGACCACTACCCACGGGAACAGCTACCCGTGTCTCGATTGTACAACACGGACCACTACCCACGGGAACAGCTACCCGTGTCTCCATTGTACAACATGTATTTGCATCTCCGTGGACGAGACTTTTTATTACCACCAGTTTTCTACACTCACCCCCCCCCACCCCCCGCCCAGAGTTGTCAAAGACAAGGATGGCTGGTCAGATTACCCCGGCGGCGTCCGCTAGACCAGCGATCTCCAACCTTTTCCATCTCAGGGCGCCCATAAACTAACGACTGAAATTCTGTGGCACACACAAAATATATTTTTTTTGCCGATCTGACAAAAAACACACACACACAAAAGAGGTATAGCCCTAACCGGTGTGGCTCAGCGGATAGAGCGTCGGCCTGCGGACTAAAGGGTCCCAGGTTCAATTCCGGCCAAAGGCATGTACCTTGGTTGCGGGCACATCCCCAGTGGAGGGTGTGCAGGAGGCAGCTGATCGATGTCTCTCTTGCATCGATGTTTCTAACTCTCCCTCTCCCTTCCTCTCTGTGGAGGGATCAATAGGGCATATTAAAAAAAAAAAAAAAGAGGTATAATTGTGATTCATTCGCGACGGATGTCTGGCTCCTGTAGTGTTGTCTGTGGTCGTGTTTTCGTTTGCCGGTCTAAGGGGAAAGGGTCCGTGCGCCACTGCGAAGCCAGGGACTGGTGTTTTATAAATTCTTGCGGCGGCACCGGCTGAAAATCGCTGCCTGGACAGTCCAGGGTGAAATTAGCTGCCTTCAAGGCGTCAGCGCTGCTAAGAGATCGGACTTCAAATGCGGATCCGTGTTTCCATCACGTCCGTCCTTCCTCTGTGCCGATATCGCTTTTGCACAGTGAGGGTGGTTTTCAGCGGAGATCTGTGGCACTGACCGCTCGTCACCCGTTGGGTTAAAATTCCTCAGTCTCAAGAAGGGAGCCCTGCCCTAGCGGGGGTGGCTCAGTGGATAGAGCGTCGGCCTGTGGACTGAAGGGTCCCAGGTTCAATTCCGGTCAAGGGCATGTACCTTGGTTGTGGGCCACATCCCCAGTGTGGGGTGTGTAGGAGGCAGCTGATCGATGTTTCTCTCTCATCGATGTTTCTAACTCTCTATCTCTCTCCCTTCCTCTCTGTGAAAAACCAATAAAATATATTTTTAAAAAGCCACGAACCTCGGTTGCAGGCTCCTCCCGGGCCCGGGCCCTGGTTGGGGCACATGCAGGAGGCAGCCAACCGACGTGCTCCTCTCACATCGATGTTTCTCTCTGCCTCTCCCTCTCTCCCACTCTCCCTAAGAATCCACGGGAAATGCCCTCTGGTGAGGATTCAAAAGGAGGAAAAAGGAAAGAAAGGCACCCTGTCCTCCCCAACCTGGGACAGAACCTTCGGCAGCTTCCCAAGCCCCCAACGCCAGTCACGGCTGCCTCAGGGCGTCCCTCGTGGTGCGGACAGACGGACAGATGGACAGACGCTGTTCCCTCCCTGGCCCGGCCCGAGGGGCCCATCAGACCTTCGGCTTGGGCGCCACGGGGCGCTGGTACAGCCGGATGATCCCTTCGTCGTGCAGCCGCTTCCAGAGCGCCCTCTCCAGGGCAAAGTCGTGGTTGATGTAAAAGACCGTCTTTTTCCAGGTCCGGTCGTAGTAGTGGTCGGAGAAGCGCTCGTGGCCCTCGGTGATGAAGCCGTAGGCGCTCACCTGCGTCGAGGTCGGTGGAGAAACGGCCTGTGTCGCTCCCCCCTGGCCTCTTCTCGGGGTCTGTGTGCGCCGTGTCCCCCTCCCCCCCATACACCCCCACCCCAGCCC